CAAGGACTCGCTAAGCCGTTAAGGTACCTAGGATAGACTGGAACTTTCCATCCTCCTGCCTCAGCCTCCCAGACTGCTGGGATGACAGGCATGCACCATCATGCCTGGCTAACAAACCAACTACTTCCTATAAAACACCCACAAAAGTGTGGACCCACAAATTTGCACACAAATGGTCTACCAACTCGTAGATGCAAGCTTACACATCCATCCCATTACAAGAGTACCTCCTCTCTCTCCTCTCTCTCCTCTCTCTCTCTCTCTCTTTTACTCTCACACACACACAGAACACAGGTGCCCACCTCTGATGCTTTACAGATGGGGAAACTGAGGCACTGGGCCCCTGAAGGACCTTGGGAAGAAGCAAAGCCCCTCCTGCCTTGGGGCAGAGGCTGTGACCAGCGCCCCCTGCTGGCTAGGCCCCTGCAAGGGCTCGCAGGACGGTGGCGCGCAAAGCGGACACGCGCATGACGTAACCATGGCATCCTCTTGGCACGCGCTCAGGGAGGGCGGGGCGGGCGCGTTACCATGGCGCCGGCGGGCCGCCTGAATGGGGCATTGTTCACTGCTCCGCCCCAGTTAGGCAAACCTGGACCCACCCGGACCCACTCGGGCTGGCAGAGACAGAGAGATCTGGGGAGAGACAGAGATAGAGAGAGATGAGGAGAGACAGAGAGACGGAGGGACGATTGAGAGATGGAGAGAGATGTAAACAAGGAGAGATTTAGGGCTGGGGAAACCAGGACAGGAGATAGCGTGGGAGAAAGGAGACTTCCAGGGGGAAAGCGACAAAAGATAGACAGAGATGGGAAGAGGAAAACAAGCACAATTAAAGAGGAAGAAATAGATGTGAGACTGAAGAATAGAAAGAAACAAACAAGGAAGGAAGGGTAGAAGGAGGGCAGAGGAGAGGGAGAGCCAAGCATTGAGCATGGAGGTGGAAGGGACAGGACCAGCCAGCCAAGACCCGCTTGTGACACAGGCAGCACAGGGCACAGCAGGGGACCCTCAAACTGAGAGTCAGCAAGATGAGGGGTCAAAAGGACCCCAACACTGGGAGTACAGAGAGAGGCTTGGAGGCATGACCCCAACTCCCTGCTCTGGGGTCTCCCCCCACCCAGACCCTTCTCCACTGGCTCTGGGCTGACACTCAGAATTCACACTCCTTCCCCAAGTACTGGGATTGCACCCCAAGATACACCCTCAGCCATTTTCGTGTTTTTATTTTGAGACAAGGCCTCCCTAAATTGCTAAGTTGCCCAGGCTGGGCTCGAACTTGGGATCCTCTTGCCTCAGCCTCCCAGAGGGCTGGGATAACAGGTGTGAGCCACCACACCCGGTTCAGAATGTGCACTTCTGTCCTTCTATAGAGGGATCATCTACACAGAGACCCACCCTTTGGGGAGGCTTCCCAATTCTCCAGGTCACCTAGAGATCCACACCCTTCTGAAATACAGTGACACTTTGTGTTCGGGGTCACTGTTCCACCAGTGACAGCTCTCAGAGACATGGATGGCCCTGTGGCTGCCCTGCCAAACACGTCAATGTCAGCTGGCCACCCACTGTCACATTGTCACACAGGGTCACCAGATGGGAACACTGTCATGAATGGTCACCCAGACACCCAGGGTACCCTCCCTCTTGCCCACACATTCTCTACCCTGAGTCTGCTGCCCTGGGTGGGGGCCCAGTCCTAGGGGCTCTCTGGGGAGCTATGCAGTCTTCTCTACAGTGGAGTCTATGGTAGCTGGCAGGTACGGGTCCCCAGGGGAAGCTGGGCTGGCAGAGGAGAGAGGTGAAATCCCAGCTGTTGCCCTCACAAGGCTGGGTCAAGCCAGGCCAGGGCTGGTTCCCTAATTGCGAGGCTGGGTCAGCCCAGCCCAAACCTGGACCAAGGGCGGCCCCTGGTGGCCACCTGTGTTCTTGCACGCATTCTTTTTTTTTTTTTTTTTTTTGGTACGGATAGAACTCAGGTCCTTGCGCTTGCGCAGCAGGCGGCGAAACCACTGAGCTAAATCCCTGGCCCAGTTCTTGCACTCATTCTTAAGGGACGATGGGCTGCTGGGTTGCAGCGGCCCGGGGCACCCAACGGGCAAGGGCTGAGCACACAGAGTTCGAAGGCTGAAGTCCAAAAGAGAAACCCAGGTCTAGAATTCAGAATTCTGTAAGTCCCACAATCTAGATGCAAAAGGCTTGGGATGTAGCTCAGTGATCGTTGGCACCAGAAAGAAAGAAAAAAAAGAATCTACAATCCAGTAATACCAAGATCTAGAATTCAGATCCAAGAAGGCAGAACCCAGACTAAAATCCAGATCCCTCCAGCACTTGGGTGGTTTAGACAGGAGCATTGCCTTGAGTTCAAGACCAGCCTGAACTAGAAAGACTGTCTCAAAAAAACAAACAAAGGGGGGCCGGGGATTTAGCTCAGTGGTTTCGCTGCCTGCTCCACAAGTGCAAGCGCAAGGACCCGAGTTCCATCCCCGGTACCCCAAAAAAAACAAAACAAAAAAGTTAAACATTAAAATAAACGAACAAATAAATAAAATCCAGGTCCTTTATCCAGAACCACGAAACCATATTCTGGAAACCAGAATTCAGAAATCTAGATTCCATTATTCAGAAATAGAATGTAGCCAGGTGTGGTGGGTGTGGTGGCACACACCTGTCAGCCCAGCCCTCTGAAGTCTGAGGCAGGAGAATCACTGCGAGCTCAAAACCAGCCTGGGCTCCTTGGTGAGTTCAAGGCCAGCCTGAACTACACAGTGAGATCCTATCTCAAACAAACAAAAACAAAAAACTGATGACTTGGGGGGGGGGCGGGCACGGGACAGTAGGGCCAGGAATTTAGCTCAGTGGTTTCACCGCCTGCTGTGCAAGCGCAAGGACCTGAGTTTGATCCCCGGTACAAAAAAAAAAAAAAAGTAGAATGTAGGAGCTGGAATGCAGCTCCAGGAACCTGGAAGCTGGAGTCCAAAGGGCAACCTGCAAAATCCCAAGCCTGGAGCCCTCCTCAGACCCTTCCAGATATGAGGTATGGGACAAGTCTGAGGGGACAGAGCAGACCCCCTTGTGAGAACACATGGCCTCTCCAACTATTGCCCCTTTCCAGAGTGCCTGTGTGCCCACACACATACACACACGCACATACATACCGCATCACAAGGATCCTACACTCAGATTTGCACCCTGTGACTGTCACATACAGCCTCACTTTGCTCAGATGACGCCCACAGTCATGCAGGATCACACACACATGCACCTACTCCCTGACATCACTCCTAAAGACATACGGAACCACTGTCCTCTCCCACACGCAGATGCACCCCTCATGCACTCCACAGTGTCAGAGCTGAGCCCCACTATCCTGCCAAGCTCCAAGACACACAGCCACCACCCAGACATGTGCAGGCCCATGACCCCCACCCCTGCACCCAGGTGCACACGAAGAATCGTGATGGAGGCTGGGATGAGTGTACGCGCACACACACACACACACACACATGCACACACAAGCTCCCCAAGCACAGAGAAGCCCCACGCCTTGGCAGCCATGCAGCCCCTGGGAATAAGACCCCAGGGACGGGGCTCACGGCGCATCCCCGTCTCCACCCCAGCCCTCCCCGCCTGGCCGGCTGGCGGGCTTTAATACAGATGCCAAACTCATAATTGTAACTGAGGGTGACAGGGTCACCTTGAGGCCCAGATGCTCACGCAGTGACAGATGGCGTTGGCAAACCTGATTAGCAGCCCCTGTGCCAGCGCCTGTGGCACCTGCGTCCCCCCTCCCCCCCACACACTCATTACCCACCCTTACGGGGCCTGGGGGGTGGGGCGGGGGGCAGGAGCCCTGGGGGCTGCCCTGGCACCAAGGTTCCCAGCTGGCTCCCCTGGCTGGCAGGAGGTGAGCACAGCCGAGGGGGGTGGGAAGCAGGCGCCTTAGGCGCGCCAAACAGGGTGTGCTGGGGCTGAGCTGCCCACTGGACACCGCCTGGGGTTGGCACCGAGCTCTAGAAGGAGGAGGGGTCACCCCCTGGGACCTGATGACGCTCCCCCCCCAAACCCCTAAGCCCTGGGAGCTGTGGCCAGGCCAGTTCCCAGTCAGCACTGCCTCCCAGGTCAGAGGTCAGGGTCTCCCATGCCCCACAGGGCCATCTGTTTCCTCGGGGCCCCTGCTGCCCCCTCACCTGGGCCTGCCTTCCTGCGGCAGGAAGAGGGGAGCCCCCGCCCCTCGCTGGCTCCCTACCCACCCTCCAGGGGGCATTTGGAGGAACGGTGATGGCGCCACATGTCCCTGCATCTATGCCAGACGGGCCCATCTGCCAAGGCCCTGGTTCCAGCCGCCGGAAAGCCAGGCTGCCCGTGCCTGAGGTGGACCCTGTGCCCCAGCTGGGGAGGGAGCACCTGATGTCCATGCCTGCCATGGTCACCCACCCACTCCCAGGGAGCCCTGGTCAGAGGAAGAAGCACACACAGTTGGGCCTGCCGACCTTTATGGTTCTGTGGATGCCACACTGGGCAAGGGGCAGCATGGGGGCTCAGGAGGAGGGACAGGGAAACCATCAGGAGGAGAGGCATTTAGGGACCCTGTGTCCCCCAGCAACTGTGTCTGCTGCCAACTTTGGTTTTGTGGTGTCCTTAGGTCTGTGTCTCCGGGTCTGGATGGAGCATCTGTCCTCCCTGCAGCTGGGAGTGTGTCTGACTCATCGCATGAGAGCAGTTCAGTTTAGTGGTTAAAATCTAAACCCCCAGCCAAGTGTGATGGTGCACACCTGTCATCCTAGTCCTCTACAAGGCTGAGGCAGGAGGATCGCAGGCTTCAGCCCAGCCTGGGCAACTCAGCAATTTAGCAAGATCCTGTCAAAAAAAATATTTTTTGTACTGGAAGTCGAACTTGGGACCTTGTGCTTGTGAGGCAGGTGTGGCACCACTAAGCTAAATTCCCAGCCCTCAAAATTTTTTTTTAAAAAATCAAAAGGCATGGAAATATAGCTCAGTGTGAAGGCCCTGGGCTCAATCTCCAACACACACACACACACACAAAAAGTCTGGGGCTAGGGGTGCAGCTCAGTGATAGAGTGCTTGCTTACCTGGCATGTGGGAGGCCCTGCTGTGTGACCCTGGGGGAGCATCTGAGACCAGAGCCCCCTAAAATGGTATGACATTAGCCCCACCTCAGAGGCTGCTCAGGCTACACCGTGAGGATTGGAATCAGCCTTCTCAAGGCATTGCTGAGGCCAGGTGCCTGGTGAGTGGTCAGTGAGCAGCACTGTGTCTACTTGTGGCTCCACCCCACGACCGGGGCTGTGTCTAATATCCCTGGGGGCAGGGTGAGGACTTTAGGACCTGTCTGTCTATCCCTACATCCCCAATCTCTGACCCAGTATATAGTATCCAGGTCAGTGTCTTTCCTTTTCTTGTTGTTTTTTTTTACTTGTTATTGGGGTTTTGTTTGTTTGTTTGTTTTTGAGGCAAGATCTCGCTATGTTGTTCAGGGTGGCCTAGAACTCACTATGTAGCCCAGGCTGGCCTTGAACTCCAGCAATCCTCCTGCCTCAGCCTCCCGAGTGCTGGGCTGACAGGCATTGCCACCATGTGGGCTCTATCATTGTTTCTCTTCTTTTCTTTTCTTTTCTCCTCACAATGCGGGAGATTGAACTCAGGGCACAAGTGCTCTCCTACTGGGCTATATCTAAGGCCTGCCCGGCTCTATCTTGTTCCATCTCTTCAAAATCCGTGTCCATCTATCCATACGCAATGCTGTCACAGCTTTGGGCTACACTGACAGCCTTCCACGAGCGCAGTGGATGTCTTCACCCGCCGAGGGGATGCTGGGCTGCCCACTCGACACCACAGGACCACTGGCACCCAACGCTTCCGGGTGGGCACACAGCTGTTGCAGAGGGAGCTCGAGGCAGTGGCTGAGCCGGGCACGTAGAGGGAGGAGCACTGACCAAAGCACAGGTGGTTGTGAACACGGGTAGCTGTGCAGCTGGGCCGGGACAGCACCTGGGGCCGGGCACAAGGGGACACAGGGTTAGGGCAGAGGCATCGGGACAGAGCAGGGAGAGGAACTGCCACTCGCTCCCTGCACCTTGGGAGGCTTGGACTCCAGAGCCAGGCTCCAGTCCTGACCCTGCCATCACCTGGCTGTGTGACCTAGGTGAGTTCCTTGGCCTCTCAGGATCACTTTCCCCACCTGTAGAGTCATGATCATTCACACAGGAAAAGAAGAAAGCATCCTAGGCCTTCCTGGAGTTGATTACCCAAGGGACAGAGAGATTGTAAAGCCAAGCAAAAGACAGATATGAACACCCAGAACACACACCAACAGGAAGCTGCTACACCCCTGGTACTCAGGAATGGGGTGGGGCAGAGAATTCAATTGGAAACTCTCAGCAATGTGCCTGGTACCCAGTTTGTGCTTAATAAATGCTGGGTCCTCCCGTGATGCTCTCTCCCTCAGTGGATCTATTATCTCAACCCTAACCACAGTCTTTCTCTGCCTAAATCCTGCAGTTAAGTGGGTACATGGCACGTGCCTGAAATCCCAGCACTCTGGGAGGCTGAGGCAGGAGGATCATAAGTTTGAGCCCAGCCTGACAACTTTAAGACTCAGAGAGACCTTGTCTCAAGATAAGGGGGGGAGGCTGAAATTGTCGATCAGTGTGAAGACCCCTGAAAAAAAGAAAGAACAAGGAAGAGGGAGAGGGAACCTGCCCTCAACTAGGTGCTTCTTGTCTTCCTTAGGCTAAGACACATCCTACCCGCAGCCGAAGTCTGCCACACTCTGTCCTGAGCCCCTGGCTCCCTTCTGCCACCTCCCAGCCTGCTGCAGCTCCTCCTGCTTCCTCAGAGCACCCGGAAAGGAGACAGCACCCAACTCGTTCCTTCACGTGCTTGAGCCATGGTTTCGTCTCTCTGGAGGTCGGCCCGGCCTCAGCTTTCTATCCCCGAGTGTAAACTACCCAAAGACAGAGACTGTGGTCCCTGGACATCAGGACACCATTCCTAATGAGAGCAGGCTCTAGCAGGCTAGGAGCCAGGGGTGGCAGACAGTCCCACTACTCAAAGACTGAGTCAGGACAATCACAGCCCAGCCTGGGCAACTTAATAACTTAGCGAGGTCCTGTCTCAGAAGTAGAAATAAATTTACAAATATATTAAAAGAGGGGCCGGGGATTTAGCTTGGTGGTTCTGCCACCTGCCTCGAGAGCGCAAGGTCCTGAGTTCGATCTCCGGTACCAAAATAAATACATAAATATATTAAAAGGGCTGGGATGCAGCTCAGAGTGTAGGCCCTGCATTCCATCTCCAGGACCAGAAAATAAAACACAAAAGCAGCCACTTGGTCTTGGGAACCAATACCTGGGCTCAAGCCCTTTGGTCAGACCTTTTCGGATCACTGACTCCATCTTGTGGGGTGAGAATTGAGGTTCACAGAGGAAAGCTTCTTACCCCGGCCACACAGGAGTCAGCCATTAAGGCAAGACCCGAAGCCGGCACCCAGGGTCAACTGCTAAGGCCCTTCTGAGCCCAACCCAAGTGGAGCAGCAAGAGCCTTCCCATACCCATGGGAAAGAGGTAGTACTACAAATCACGATGCATTCATTCAACAAACACTGACTGATTCCATCTTGTGCCTGGCCTTGCTGGAGGGCCTGGAGACAGGGACACTGCAGAGAACAAAACCAGATAAAGTATATTTCCTCATAAACGAGTCAGACAATATGTCTCATTACAAAGAGAACCTGAGGCCTCATTAGCTGATGGCATCCACGACAGAGCCTCCTGCCTCAGCCTCCCCAGTAACTAGGATTACAGGCATGCACCACCATGCCTGGGTACACATTTTTAAATAAATGACATTTTAAACATCTTTAGGTGAGAGAAGGGACCGTAGGTAGGTTGTTTAGGTGAGAGAAGATTCCTGGGGCCAAGGCCCTGGGGTAGATGGAATATCGGTGTGGATGAAAAGCAGGAGTGAAATGAGGAGGAGCATGGGAAGTGAAGCCGTGAGGAAACACGGTCAGAGAATAAGGACTTCATGGGGCACAAGGAAGAGTTGGGGTGTTGTCTCAGTGAGGTGGAAGCCACAGAGGGGAAGAGGGAGGGGACCTGAGCCAGGCGCCCACATAGTCCCCCTGGAGACTGGAAAGCAGACTTGGGAGGTGGGCAGTGACACAGCCAGGTGGCCATGGCCTGTAGAAAGCTGAGGCTGAGAGGCATTTAGGTGGAGGGTACAGGGCTTGAATTCAAATCTACCTGGGCTGACCTCCATCTACTCAAGAGGATCCTAAGTTCATGGCCAGCCTGGGCAACTTAGTGAGCCTACCTCAAAAAATAAAACGGGCTGGGGTACAGTTCAATGGCACAGCTCTTGCTTAGCATTTGTAAAGCCCTGGGTTCAACTCCCCAGAACCCCCCAGAGAATTTTATCTGGGGACACAAGCTGTGTCCTCTCCTGCTCACCTGAATGAAGGGGACAGCCCTGCACCTCTCTTGGGCCACTTCCTGCGGGTCCAGAGGCAGAGACAGCACAGCAGCCACTCCTTGCCCGTGCTTCAGCTCACCTGGCCTCTGCCATCTGCCGCTCTGCAGGCCCAGGAAGGTCCTCCAGCTGCCCAGGGCAGGGGCTGCCAGCGGTGTCAGTGGCACCAGGGCGCCGGTCCGGTTGGTAGCACCCCAGGGCTGTGGCAGGGGAGCCTGGGGCCCAGGCCGTCCTGAGACTGTGGGCAGCCAGGCCCCACCCAGTAGCCCCAGGAGAGCAGTAAGCAGGCCACAGATCATGGCCCCGCTGTCTGCCGTCTATGTCAGGCTAGGACTGGGCTCAGGGTCCTGGGCACTGACCCTGCTGTCTGTGAGCAGAGCCTGGCCTGGGACTTGCTTTTAATCACTGCCCCTACCTCCACCCCCACCCCCATCCTGGGGGAGCGCCTGTGTCAACTCACGTAGGGAAGAACAGTACAGCAGGCCTGCTGGGCCCCCACAGCTCCTCCCAGCTGCAGTGGGGATCAGGAATCCAAACTGAGCCTGGGCCACCACACATCTGTCATCCCAACCACTCAGGAGCAGGCCAGGGATTTAGCTCAGTGGTTCCACCGCCTGCTGCGCAAACACAAGGACCCAAGTTCAATCCCGGTATCAAACAAACAAAAACAACAATAAGGGCAGGGATTTAGCTCAGTGGTTCCACCGCCTGCTGCGCAAACACAAGGACCCAAGTTCAATCCCGGTATCAAACAAACAAAAACAACAATAAGGGCAGGGATTTAGCTCAGTGGTTCGGATGCCTACCTCGCAAGCACAAGGTTCTGAGTTTGATCTCCAGCACCAAAAATAAAAATAAAATAAAATAACAACAACCAACCACTCAGGAGGCTGAGGCAAGAAGATTGCAAGTTTGAGAACAGCCCGGGCAACTTCACAAGACCCTTTCTCAAAATAAAATAAAAAGCGCTGGGGATGTTGGTCAGTGGTGAGCACTTGTCTCACGATGGTGAGCACCACTGCTGCTGTGGTGGTTTTCTGAGCCCTATCACAGAGCAGGCATCATTCTCAGCCCTGAGGACACGAGATAGAAACTGGGTCCTCCTGCACTGTAATGCAGAAACCAGACAATAAATCATAAATAAGATGACTTCAAAATCATAAGTGTTAAGCTATTAAGTAATACAGCTCATTGGCACTTGCCTAGTATCTGGAGCCCCTGGGTTCAGGCCCCAGTTCTGTAAGGAAGGAGGGAAGGAGGGAAGGAAGGAAGGAAAGAACTGTTCATAAAGCTGCACATGGGGGCGCATGCCTGTAATCCCAAATTGGGCAGCCGAGGCCTCAAACCCAAAGTTTGAAGTCTTCCCGGGCAACTTCCAAGATCCTGTCCCCAAAGAAAAAATTTAAAAGCACTGGGGATATAGCTGAGTGTTCCCTTGGTTCCATCCCTTATATCAAAAAACAAAACTCACAACCAGAAGAAGAAGAGGAAGAAGAAGAAGAGGAGGAGGAGGAGGAGGAAGTGGAGCAGGGAGAGAGAGAGAGAGAGGGAGGGAGGGAGAGGGAAGGAGGGAGGGAGGGAGGGAGGGAGAGAGAAAGAAAGAAAGGAAGAGAGAAAGAAAGAAAAGAAATCAAAATGAAATGAGCCTTAGAGGGGAGGGCAGGAACCTCTGTCCCCAGGGTGGTCAGGAAAGGCCCCCCGGGAGGTGACGGTATTGCAGAGGCCGGATGCGGCGCAGGAGGCGGTGGGAACAGCCCGGCGGGGCGTGGAAGGGGGTGGAGGAACCTGGCCCCGAGGCCTCGCACCTGTGCTGCGCGCACCTCGCACCAGGGTGAGGAGCGGTCGTGGGAAGCAGCTGCCGGGTTCCTTCCCACGGCCCGAGCTGCACTCGCGCCCTCTGGCGGGGGCTCTCGGCACTGCGCGTCTGCAACAGGGACCTCTGCTTCCAACTCCTCCCGCCGCAGTTCTGGTCTTGAGTCTTGCGGGAGGCTATAAGGCTCCAAACTTGGAAGCATTCTCCCACCCCACCCCAACATGACTCCAGAAGTGTGGGTCGCATCGGAATCCACCCAGAACTGGCTGTGGTGGGGCACCTCTGTCACCCCAGCACTTGGGAGGCTGAGGCAGGAGGATCACTGGCAGTTTGAGACCAGCCTGGGCTACATAGTGAGTTCAAGGCCAGCCTGGACTACATAGTGAGACCCTCTCTCAAAAAGCCAAAAACAAAAGAACCCACCCAGGATCCTCCCACTCCTCACTGCCACTGTGCCCCCCACCGGGGTGCAGCTCCCTTCATCCAGCACCTGGATCCGGGCAGCTGCAGCCCCATTTGTTCCTCACAAAGCGAGCACCAGAGTCAGACCCTGTCCCTCCAAGCTCAGAGCCCTCCATGGCTCCCTCCAGGCCCTGCAGGATGTGCGTGCATCATCTTCCCACCCTCCTCTCCTCACACTCTTGGCCTACCCCTTTCTGGCAGTACTAAGATTGGAACCCAGGACCTTCCCACTGAGCTACATCCCCAGCCAGTTTTTATTTTTTATTTTGAGACAGGGTCTTGCTAAGTCATTAAGTTGTCCAGGAGGAGCTAGAACTTCAGTCCTCCTGCCTTGGCCTCCCATAGTGCTGGGATGACATATGTGTGCTGGACTCTCTCACACTGGCTCATGGCTGTTTTCCAAACTCTCCAGGCATGATGCTCCCTTAATACCACAAAGCTACACCCCAACTACCTCTGTATCCATGTGATTCCACCCACGGGGTCCCCCAGCCCCAGACCATGTCAAGCTCACTGTGGTCATGCACAGCATTATTTTTTGTCCTTCCCTAAAGAATGCTGTGTAATGACAACTGCAGAGCACACATGCTGCTTGAGGTGTTTTTGTTGTTGTTGTTGCAGTACAGGGGTTCAAACTCAGGACCTTGGACTGCAAGGCATGCATGGTGCCACTAAGCTAAATGCCCAGCCCTGCATGAGGTTTTTTTTTTTTTGGTACCGGGGATTGAACTCAGGACCTTGCGCTTGCGAGGCAGGTGCCGGAACCACTGAGCTAAATCTCCGGCCCTACATGAGGTATTTTTATTAGTCCATGTTTGTGGTACATAATGTTTACATTCCCTGTGGGGAGTTGGTGCATGTACACAACACACCTCAATTCCTTTCTTCATCCCCTCCCCCACATCCCTTGATCCCAGGGATTTAAAGTGTACAGGCTGCCAGGCACAAATGGTGTACCTGGTAATCCCAGCTACTCCAGAGGTTGAGGTGGGACGACTGGAAGTTCAAGTACTGCCTGGGAAAGATAGCGAGATCCTGTCTCAAAATTTTTAAAAAATGCTGAGGGTGTAGCTCAGTGCCAAGGTCCCGGGCTCAGCCTCTAGTGCCTCCATGTTTCATCTGGAAGCCCAACCAAACCCTCATGTGCTCACAGGCGGGCTCCGGGGATGTGACTGATCAAGGGGTGTGATCACCATGTGTGGACTCATCCTCCCGTGGGTGTATTGATGAATGTGCAGCTGGGGGCTGGTGCTGGGCAGAAAAGGGCTCACTGTGGGGTGGTTGGGAAGGCTCTGTCTCCTTCCCAGTTCCCCTCAGCTCTAGCTGCCTCCTGGAAGCCCAGCCATGGGTAGCTCTCTCACCAGGCCCCCTGCCGCACGTGATCCAAAATAAACCTCTCCTCCCTTAAGTTGTGGGTGCCAGGTCCCAGCGATGAAGAAAGTGATTGAGACACACACACACACACACACACACACACACACACACAAAATAAACAAATAAAGTCTAAGGAAGGATGTGTGTAGGTTTTAGCAAATACTATACCGTGCGTGTGTGTGTGTGTGTGTGTGTGTGTGTGTGTGTAATATGAGGGATTAAACCCAGGCATACTCTACCACTGAGTGACATCCCCAGCCCTTTTAATTTTAGGACAAAATCTTACTAAATTGCCCAGGCTGGCTTTAAACTTAAATCCTCCTGCCTCAGCCTCTCCAGCAGCTGGGATTACAGGCATGTGCCACCAAACCCAGCCATATTACACTATTTTATGTGACTTGAGCACCCATGGATTTTGGCATCCACAGGGGTCCTGGAACCAAACCTACCACAGACACCAAGGGATGACTGTATAAGACTGTGGAAGCCAGGCATGGTGGTGCATGCCTGTAATCCCAGCACTCAAGAGGCTGAGGCAGGAGAATCACCAGAAGTTCAAGGTCAGCCTGGGCTACATACTGAGTTCAAGGCCAGCCTGGACTATATACTGAAACCCTGTCTCAAAAAAAAAAAAAAAAAAAAAAGACCATGGAAGCTCTTGAAGGTTCAACATGGAAAGACCCCCTAAACAAATTAAGTAGAAATTAGAAGTTCAGAACAGGGTATGCACCATGCTGACATTTGGGGAAAGAATAAGAACACATAGTTGTTTACTTAAATTGCATATTGAAAGGGATGATGGATTTTCCTGCTAAACAGGGGCATGAAAATGGTCAGACAGGAGGAAGGAGAAGCACTTTAGACATTAAACACTGTTTTAGGGGCTGGAGTGTATAGCTCAGTGGTAGAGCACTTGTGTTGCATGAAAAAGAGAAAGAAAGAAAGAAAGAAAGAAAGAAAGAGAGAGAGAGAGAAAGAAAGGAAGGAAGGAAGGAAGGCAGGCAAGAAAGAAAGAGGGAGGAAGGGAGGGAAGGAGAAAGGGAGAAGGAAAGGAAGGGAGAGAGGAGGGAGAGAAAGAGGGGAAGGAGGAAAGAAGGAAAAGGGAGGAAGGGGGAGGGGGGAGGGGAGGGGATGGAAGAGAAAGAAAGAGAAAAACAGAAAAGAGGTAGTGAAATAAACCAAACAAATTTAAGAAGTGCCAGGGATTTAGCTCAGTGACTCCACACCTGTCTCAAAAGTGCAAGGTCCTGAGTTCAATCCCCAGTACAAAACACACACACACACACACACACACACACACACACACGGCACCTCTTGTAAGCATTACCCTAAGAAATGAACATTAGATATTTTCACCTCTGACTCTGTACCTCTCTTAATGTCTGAATTTTCCAATTTCAATCTTCATGCTTGTGCCAGAGATGGTGGTGCATGCCTATAATCCCAGCACTCAGGAGGCTGAGGCAGGAGGAGCCCTGAGAGTTCAAGGCCAGCCCGGGCTACACAGTGAGTTCAAGTCAGCCTGAACTACACAGGGAGACCCTGTCTCAAAAACATAAATAAATAAATAATAAACCAAAAAAACCCCTTCATGCCTGTATTTATAGTTTTCCTATACATGTTTTGTTGTCTCTGTTTCTGTTTTTTTGGGAGGGCTGATGTAGTTTGGCGTGGTGGTTTTTGTTCCTTCCCCCCAACCCAGTACCGGGGATCCAACTCAGGACCTTGTGCTTGCAAGGCAGGCGCAGCATGACTGAGCTAAATCCCCAGCCCTTGGCATGTTGTGTTTGAGACACAGTCTCCTTATGTAGTTCAGGCCTGATCTCTCACTATGTAGACCAGGCTGGGCTAAAACTTGCTGCAATCCTCCTGGCTCAGCCTCCTGGTGCTAGGATTACAGGTGTGTGCCACCACACTAGCCAGTGTTCCTATAAATTTATTCATTAAGAAAAGATAGAATAGGGCTAGGGATTTAGCTCAGTGGCAAAGCACCTACCTTGTAAGCACAAGGTCCTGAGTTTGATCCCCAGTATCAGAAAAAAAAAAGACAGACTTCATAGTTTTCCTTTCCTTTTTAATTTTTTCTTTTTCTTTTTTGAGGTGCAGGACCCAGGGCCTTGAGTAGAGTTCGCAAGAGATCTACCACTGAGCTATACCCCAGCCCTGTCTTTCTGATTTGTAATTGAGACGTAATTGTCTACGCTTATGGGGACAGTGTGACACTTGATTACACGTGTACACTATGTAAGGATCAGATCAGGGTCACTGGCATACCTGTGAACTTAAACATCAGTCATGTATGTTGGGAACTTTTAAATTCATTCTGCTGCAACTGGAAATATGGAACGAATTGTTGCCAACTATAATGACCTTACTGTGCTACTAGACACTAGCAGTTAATCCTCCCATGCAGCTGCGCCCAATTTTATTTGGTGATACTGGGGGTTGACCACAGGGCATCCCCAGCCCTTTTTACTTATTTTGAGACAGGGTCTCAGGTCTTGATAAGTCACTTGGTTGCTCAGGCTGGGCTCAAACTTGAGGTTCTCCTGCCTCAGGCTCCTAGAGTGCTGGGATCATAGGTGTGCATCACGAAGCCCAACTATTTGTTTTAGAACTAGATATGGTGCTGGCTGTGAATAGTGTGAATGTACTAAACACCACTGAACTGTATGCCTGAAAATAATGTGGTGCAGGCACTGAAAAATGTAACAAAACAAAGCAATACAGAAACTACAACTGAAACCAGATGTCATGGTGCACACCTGCAATCCCAGAATTCAAGAGATTGAGGCAGGAGGATCACAAGTTCGAGCTCAGCCTGGGCAACTTAGTGAGTTAGCAAGACCCTGTCTCAGAATATAAAATTTTAAAAGGGCTGGGGCTGCAGCTCAGGGCAAAGGACCTGAGTTCAACCACCAGTATTCACAAAAAAGGAAATAAAGAAATGTCTATATATAAGGAAAACAAACAGAACAGGAAACGTCACTTGCTAGAAAACAAACCATGTAATCCCCACCAGATGTTCTCTCTGACTCCTCCCACCAGAGGCCTCCATCCTGACACCAGATAGTCACTGACACTTTTTTAAATTGTTCAATCTTCATTTTTTTCCCCCCACTACTGGGGATTAAACCCAGGAAGCACTGACCTAGACCCCTCCCCTCTTCCTCTCCCTCTCTCTCCCTCCCTCCCCACCCCCTCTCTTTCCTGACTGGGTCTCATTAAGTTGCCCAGACTGGCCTCAAATTTGGAATGCTCCTGTCTCAGCCTCCCTGAGTAACTGGGATTACAGGTATGTATCAGCAGAATTTTGTTCCTTTTTAAGGCTGAAATCTTTTTCTTAAAAAGTGATTCCTGGGCCCAGGGATTTGGCTCAGTGGCACCACACCTGCCCCGAAAGCACAAGGTCCTGGGTTTAGTCACCGGTCCCCCCCCCCCGAAAAAAGTGGTTCCTGTACTGTAATCAGGCATTGATAATTTTATACCATAAAAATTCGGGTTTAATACAGTTCAGTGATAGAGCGCATGCATGAGGATCCAGGTTCAGTTCCTAGCATCCAAATCAGCAAGGTGGCATAAAGTAAATACATAGTTCCAATAAAATAGAAAATAAACAAGGTATGGTGGCACACACTGGTCCCAGCTGCTGGGGAGGCTGAAAGAGGAGAATCAATTGAGCCCAGAAGCTATAGATCAGTCTGGACTACATGCAAACCCCATCTCAAAGCTTAAGTAATACTGATGCACAATTTGTTTGTTTTTTCAATGCTGGGGGATGGAATCCAGAGGCTCGTGTATGCTAGGCCAGGGCTCTAATCCTGAACTATTATATCACATAAATGTTTTTTCTTTTTATTTTTTCCAAATGTTTTTTCATTACCATGGATGGAACCCAGGGCTTTTGCACTGAGCTACATCCCCAGTCCTTTTTTATTTTGAGACAGGATCTCACAAAGTCAATAAGGTACCCAGGCTGGGATCAAACTTGCAATCTTCCTGCCTCAGCCTCCCAGAGTGCTAGGATTACAGGCTTGCACTAGGTTATACAATTTTAAATAATTATTTTAAATGTAAATTTAAATATTTAAAAGAAATGTCTAGGTAAGATAGTAAGAAAAATATACTTAACGACTTCAGGAGGGGTATTGCTGGCACACACCTGCAAACCCAGCATTTGGAAGTGTGAGGAAGGAGAATCTTGTAGGCTACATAGTGAGTTCAGAGTTGACTTGGACTACATAGCAAGACCTTGTCTCACAAAACCAAAATAGTAACAATAATAATAAACCAGCCAAGGTGGTACAAGCTTGCAATCCCAGCACTCAGAGGCAGAGGAAGGAGGAGTTCAACTCCACCCTGGGCTACATAGTGAATTCAAGGCTAGCCTGAACTACTTAGTGAGACCCTGTCTCAAAACAACCCCCCAAAAAAGTGTCAAAAAATAAATTGAAAAATTTTTAAATAAAAATTGTGAGATATTAAAAATCAAGTTGAGGGCCAGGTATTTAGCTCAGTGGTTCTGTCGCCTGCCTTGCAAGCGCAAGGTCTCGAGTGCAATCCCCGGAACAAAAAAAAAAAAAAATCAAGTTGAGCATGTGGGTTCTTCAAAATGCTAAGAATAAGAACTACCATATGTTCTAGTGATACCACTCCTTGGTATATACTCTAGGTCAGGTCAGCATAATGTAGCCATCCCTAAATACCCAGGAATAGTGTGGCACCATTCACAATATGGAACCAGCCTGGGTGACCATAAAAGGTAGTTTAGCCAGGGATTTAGCTCAGCGGTTTCGCCGCCTGCCTTGCAAGCGCAAGGTCCCGAGTTCGATTCATAATGGAGTGGGATTCTGCCATAAAAACAAAATAATGTCAACTGTAGGAGAACGAATGTAACTGGAGACCATCATTTAAGCGAAGTACGACAGGCTAAGATAAGAACTGAACGTTTTCCCTACTACTGTATATGGAAACTGGGGAGAGGGGTACACAGGAGAGACAACCGGAAGGGGACTAGGGGAGGGGTGAAGGTATTGTAGACATCTAATTAGATATGTATTAGGCAGTTAGATAGGGCTTAGGCCCTTGGGCCATCGAGGGAGTTAATGCAGAAGACAATTGAGGTCATCTACTCAAGGCCAAGACTCAAAAAGTATTACCTTCACATACTTCCCCTAGAGGTGAACAGCAGTGACTGATAATCTAAATAGACAGGGTGTGGTGCTGCATGCCTGTTATCCGGGGACTTGGGAAATTGAGGCAGCAACGTGGTTAGAGGCCAGCCTGGGCTACACAGTGAGTTCACTGAGCTCACAGTGAGCCTGAACTACAAAGCAAGATCTTGTCTCAAAAAAACAAAAAAACCCGTCAAATGTTTAAAACATTAACTGCTACAGTATTTTAATAAACAACTGCTTGTGCGGAACACACTGCGGTAATCTAGGCGCACACAACTAGCCCGTCCCCTTCCTCAGCTGAGGCACAGGACGCCCTGCCTCTGCCCTGCACCTGCGCTCAGGCAGCGCCACGAACAGCTCGGCCATCTGCGAGGACCCCGAAGCCAAGATGGCGGTGCCCACGCAGCAGGCGCGCGGCCTGCTGCGGCTGGCGGCGATCCTGCCCCACAGGTCGCGCGGCTACCGCGCGCCGCCACCCCCACGCCGATCGCCGGGCCCCTGGTGGCCGGACTCCGAGGACCCACTGACCCCGCACTGGCAGCAGGGCCCGCGCTACGCAGCCAAGCAGTTCGCGCGGCACGGTGCCGCCTCCGGGGTGGCCCCCGGCTCGCTGTGGCCGACTCCTGAGCAGCTGCGCGAACTGGAGGCGGAGGAGCGGGAATGGCACCCGAGCCTGGCAACCATGCAGGAGTCTCTGCGGGCGAAACAGCTGGCGAAGGAACAAAAGCGTAGAGAGAGGTGTGTGCGCGCGGTGGAGTGTGCGGGATGGGCCTTGCGCGCATGCTCAGCTGGCTGAGAACGCCGAGAAAACTCGCGAACATGCATCGCACATTTCCGCAGCGCCTACTATTCCAAAACCCTGACCCAGGTATCCTGTCCCAGGCGCCGAGGACACGGCACATAACAAAACAGACCAAGATAGTTTCAGACAGCAACAGGATTGTTAAGACCAGAAAACTGGGTAGCCGAGCTTAGTGATGCACGCCTGTCATCCCAGTACTCTCGAGTTCGAGCCCAGCCTGGGCTACGTAGGGAGACCCTGTCTCAAAAACTAAATAAAATAAAAAGAATATGAAGCAGGCTGAAGAGCATCTGGAGTAGGCCTCTGTGAAGGGATGTTTTAGGCTTCTGTGAAAGGATGATATTTAACCAGAGCTCTGGATGACCTAATGGGGACGTCTCAGGGAGGGAGCTGCTGCTAGAGGAAGCAGCTGGTGCAGAGGTCTTGAGATTAAATAGTGCGCAGGACCTGGTTTAAGGAACAGCCAAGGGGCCACTGTGGCTGGGGAAGAGTGGAAAGTGAGGACAGTGATTGGGCCTGGAATCTGGGCAGAAATTGGCTTTGGAGGCAGTAGAGGGATTAGCCCTGCTACTTGGGAGGCTGAGGCAGGAGTATTACAAGAGTCTAGCCTGGGCAACTTAGCAAGACCGTGTCTCCAAAAAACAAACAATAACGACAAACCGAAGTAAGGGTGGAGGGAAGGCCAGGGCCATCTGGATGACTACTTCCTTGGGGTCAAGCATATCCTGTTTAACCTTGACCCCCCAGCAGGGACATGATTCTCTTGTCCCTGAGAATTGCAGGGATCTTCACCTTCACTTCACCCTTGGGGATGCAACCAGCTCACACATGGTAGGCAAGTGTTGTACCACTGAGCTACATCCTCAGTTTAGGGGGGAGGCAGTCCAGCAGCCTCTGTAAGACAGGCCTGGTGTGGCCAGATATCTAGTCAGTGTCAGTGAATGGCAGAGCTGAGTGACCTTGGCATGGGAGCTTAGTCATTTGTTTCCTTTTTCTAATTCTTAAAATGTGGAGGACTGGTATTACAAATTGAGGCTTGGAAGGAAGTAGCCAATCTAGTTTTTTGAGGGTTTTTTGGTAGCTGGGATTGAAATCGGGACCTTGTGCTTGCAAGGCAGGCGGCGGAACCACTGAGCTAAATTCCTAGCCCCAGCCAATCTGGTTTTTTTGAGATAGGGTCTAACTATGTATCCCAGGCTGGCCCCAGTCTTGCAGTGATCCTTTTGCCTCAGCCTCCCACATGCTGGGATTACAGGTGTGTGCCACCACACCTGGCTTCCAGTGTTTCTTGCCTTCACTTTTTTTCGTATATCCTTTTATTGGTACATTTTAGGTGTACAATATAATGACATTCATCACTGGAGATATGCACCTTTTCTTGCCTTCACTTTTGTGCCTAGAACTAGGCCAAGCATAGTGAGTGGTCTGTGGTGTCTGTGGAGCATACAGTAGGTGCTCTGTGAAGCTTGGCATGAGTGAGGTGTTCAGGGGAGTGCCTCCAGGTGGCTCAGGGAACAGCTCAGCAACATACCAGGCTGAACTTGCCCTACCGTGGAGTACAGGAGAGCCTTGATCTCTGTGCCTGCACTGGTCAAGCACTTTTCCTGCCAGTTAGAAGTAGAGATGTCTTCCTGACTGGTGGGGAACTGGGGCGGGCTGTAGATGAATGGGTGGCATTCTACCCTCCCTCCCCACAGGGAGCAGCTCATTGCTGAGCGCATGGCCAAAATGCCAAAAATGATTGAGAATTGGCGGCAGCAGCAGCTCGAGCGCTGGAAGAAGGTGCAAGCAGACAAAGAGCGCAGGGCCCGCCTGCAGGCTGAGGCCCAGGAACGCCTGGGCTACCACGTGGACCCACGGAGCACACGCTTCCAGGAGCTGCTACAGGACTTGGAGAAGCAGGAGCGAAAGCGCCTCAAGGAGGAGAAGCAGAGGCAGAAGGCGGCGAGGGCTGCTGCCATGGCTGCTGCCATGGCTGCCAGCACAGCCCAGGACCCAGAAGCCTCTGGGTGGCCAGCTCCTGAGCTTTCCCAATAAAGCCTGGTACCCAGCAGCCCCTCCGCACAGGACTCTGCGTCCTTTCTCCAGGTGCCTCCCCAGGTCCCTTGGCTCTTCCCCACAACACCTGGGGTTGGGACTTCCCCAGCCAGCTGTTTGCATGGGGACCCTGGGCCATATCATGCCACTAACTGGGGCTTCAGGGGAGGAAGGGATGCGATGGGCAGGTAACAGAGCAGATGGCAGCAGAGAAGAAGGCTTCTGTTTACCAACATTAATCTCCAGTAATTAGCCAATTACCAGGGGGAAGTGCAGCCCAGACAGACTATAGTGATCATGGTAGGGGGCTGGGAGAAGCAGCCCTTCCCATGCTGACCGAGGCAGGGACCCCCTGCCCTGCTCCACAGTCCTCCACCTCCAGGCCCCTGCTGTCCCCAGGCCCAGGCAAGCCGGCGTGGCACGGACCATTAGGGCTTGTTTTTAAAACTTTATTCACTTCAAAACCTTTATCAGAGACAAGAGGTCTGTTCTGGGGCAGGGGCAGGGGCAGGGGCAGGCTTGGCCTCCAGCGGCGATGTCAGGCTTCCTCCCCCAGGCTGAAGGCCAAGGCCAGACTGGGGTAGGGGCCTTGTGGGTTGCCCCAGATTCCGGCCACTCCAATGGAGGATCAAAGTTTGGGGCTCCAGCTTCCCCTCATCCTGGAGGAGGGCAAGTTGGGGAGCAAATAGCCGCCTCTCCATCTGGCTGAGGGAGCTGGGACAGAGGCCAAGAGGGGCCCATCTGTCGACACTTGGCCCTGCCAGCAACTCCAAGCAGGCTGGGCTGGGAGAACGGGGACAGCTGTCTGGCCTGGGTCCTCTGACCAGGATGGAATGGGGCTACTTGAAGAGGGTGGGAAGCTGGCCTGTTTGTTTTTTTTAAAAGGTTTTTTACTTTTCCTCACTTAAATAAACATGAATATATATATATGTATATATATATATACTTTTATAAAACTTTTGTGGAGTGGGGCAGGGTAGGGGCAGTGCATGGCCTGGCCTCCCAGTGTCACTCGTCATCAAAGTTCTGACTCAGGAGGAAGTTGGCAGCCAGGTTCTCGTTCTTTTCACATGCGAAGTAGGCCTGGATCACCAGGCTCTCAGGAAAGCCCAGGGCCTTCAACTGTGGGAAGACGCATGGGGGGGGGGGTGTGAGGGTTGCTGGGCAGGGTGGCCCCAGCCCCAGCCAGCCGGTCGCCCTCTCTGCTTACCCTCTCAATAGCTTCCTTCTCCTGCGGTGTCACCTGGATGTAGTTCATCTGTGGGGCGTCCTCACCTATGGCGCCCACCTCCCCCTCCACGTCGGAGATGTCCGCCAGCTCCCCAGGGGGTTCGTTCAACATCTGGATGAACTGCTCCTGGTGACGGCTAATTTGCTGTAGGAGAGGGGGGTATGGGGAGGCCTGGCCTTGGTTCCCCCTCCCCAGGTCCCCACCTCAGACCTCACTTTTTTAGTCAGTAGACACAGCAACACAGGGTGGGGATGAGCCCTGTCTTGGTGAGGATGGTGTCCCTGGGCTGGAAGACAGGCTGCTGGTGGGCAAATACAAGGAGCAGACAACAGCGGGGCTAAGGCTTGGGAAGTAGCTGAAGCCCAGGTGTCGGGGGCCTGTGCAGGTCTATGGCACCTGGAAGGCATGAGCAGGAAGTGCACAGGCCCTGGGGTGGGTGTATCCAGCAAGTCTCAGCCTCAGGAGACCCGCGTGACAGGACACGGAGGTGAATGAGAGAAGCAAGCTGGGGCCAGGCACTTTTCCATGGCAACGGGAAGCCACAGTGGTGACAGTTCAACAGGGAAGACAAAATCTGAGAACTTTTTAATTATTTATTTTTTAGCAGGAAAGTTTATTGAAAAAGTAAAAGTGAAGAGTAAGAGAGAGACTGGCTCTGAAACAGTCTTGGGCCGACTGAAAGAGGAAAAAGCAAGATAAAAGAACACCCTGGAGAAAGCAGGGTGGCCCACAGGAGAGCCACGAGAGCCACGGTCTGGGGACTTTTTCTAACTTTTCGTTTGTTTGGCTTTCTTTTGAGATGGGGTCTCGCCATGTAGTCCAGGCCGCCTTTGAGCATGCAGCGACCCTCCAGCCTCAGCCTCGGGCTCCTCGCCGCTGGGCTTCTAGGCATGCGCCACCACATCCAGCTCGGGAACCACTCGGTGCTTGGGACGGAGCCCAGGGCCCTCGGCAAGCTTGGCAAGCGCTCACCACTGAGCTGCACCCCTACTGTGTGTCCTTTTCAAATCCACTTATCTGAGTGTTGGAAGTCTCAAGACTCTGGTGCAACTGTACTCCTTATACATCTGACAGTTTCACAGTGAAGAGTAAGTGCTTCTTCAGAATCTGAGGTCTAGGGGACAAAGGATCAGGGTGGCTGTGGAATTAGAGGCTTGTGAGAGGGTGTCAAGGTGCCAGTGAGAGATGAGGTTGGCAGCCATGGAGGTAGGGGCAGGGGCAGGGCCGAGATGGCCCCAGTAAAAGTCAGCTTGGGGAGGGCCTGTCCTGTCTCAGAGGTCTAGAAAGTGCTGCAGCTATACGTCAAGTCAGCCATGAGGAAGTGTAGCATACAGAAGTCTGGGTGGTCTCCCTAGGCTGGGGTCATCACAGACTGAAGGCCCAGGACAGCACCAGGAGGACTGTGCAGAGAAAGAACAGGGATGACCTGAGCACAGTGGCACAGGTCTATAATCCCAGCACTCGGGAGGGAGGCTGAGACAGGAAGATCTCAAGAGTTCAATGCCCAGCCTGGGCTACCCTGAGAGACCCTGACTCAAAAATACCCGCAAAAAAGAAAGGAGTAAGAGGGCCGGGGATTTAGCTCAGTGGTTTCGCTGCCTGCTGCGCAAGCACAAGGACCTGAGTTTGATCCCTGGTACCAAAGAAAAAGGAGTAAGAGAAGCCTGCACAACGAACTGTGGAGGAACAAGGGGAGGAGCAGAAGTTGGCAGGTCCTGAGCCACCTCACAAAGGACCCAGAGGAACCTGCTGTGCTGCTCAGCCCACACACACATTCCACCAGCAGGGTCCACAAAACTATGTTGGTCAGCAGGCAACAGGAGTGGGAGTGGGGGCTGTCCTTAGCCCAGCAGTCCAGGTGAACAGTGACCCCATCAACCATAGGCTGTGGCATCTACCCCACTCCCCCTGCCCCGGCCGCACCTGCAACAGCTGAGGATTCTCCTGGCCCAGCTGCTGGAGTAGGGCAGGCAGCAGTGCTGGGTTCTGCTGGATCACCTGCCGCATGTTCTGGAACTGGGGCTGGTCCCGAAGAAACTCCAGGGGGTTTTCTCCTGCTGACAGCAGGAAGAGGTAGTCAGAGACTGCACAAGGACCCAGGCCTAGCACCAGGAGATGCCCCATGAGCACATTGCCTAGCCCACCCACCTGCTTCTGTGGCTGGCTGCTCAGACACTTGGCTCTCCTGGATGGAACCGTGTTCAGGCTCAGGGTTTCCCGGAATTCCCTGTCAGAAATCCTCTTTAGTTCTCCCACACAGACCTCTGGCTACCTTGTCCACCACAGGCCACCCACCAGTCCCACCCCACCTCCCAAGTGAAACCTTCAGTGACAGCAGCCACTACCCAGGGCTCCTTGGCAGCTTCTGCCTCTCTGATATGCCACCCCGGGAGGTGGTAGCCCCACCTCACCGTGAGCAGATACTCCACAGCCCGGTGTGGGTTGTTGTAGCTGGCTCTCAGGGCAGCTATGACACGTTCCCGCTCATAGCCCATGGACATGATCTCCATCAGCATCGTCTCGTACTCAGAGCCAGTCACTATGGAGGGAGCACCAGGACCTGGGTCACGAAGGACAGGGCAGAGCAGTGCCCACACCCTCCCATACCCAGATGAGACCCAGCTGATACAGGTCCCCAGTCACCTCTGCCCTGGGGACCACCCACCCACCTAACGTGGAGGCCGCATCTTCCTCTCGCCCGCTGCTACCTGAAGAGGGAACAGAGCTGCAAATTCAAGAGAGAGAAATCGGACCCTGGCTTCTGGTGCCCCCCCCCGCAAGATGTGCAGGATCACACAGGTGGGCACTGAAGGTTCAGGGAGGACAGGGCCCCAGGAGGGAATGCTGCCCCTGCCTTACCCTAACACCGACTCTGGAGATGTTGTGGTAGCAGACTCCTGCGATGGACTCTTGTCCTCTCTGGTGGCAGGTGGGGGATGGGACATGCCTGAAGCAGGAGACAGCTGGAAGGGGGTCGAGGGCTCTGGGGCAGCAGTGGGTGAGACTTCTGGGGGTGCTAGGGTACTCTGGCCAGCTTTAGCCTGTGACCGCAAGAAAAAAGGGAGCTAGTGTCAGCACTCCTATCAAGCCCCAACATCCTGCCCCAGTGCAGCCCTGCCCTGTGTTCAGCTAATCTCTCCTGGGCACACAGGCTCTGTCAGCTCCCACTAATCACCCACCTTGGTCACCATGACAACCACGAAGTTCTTCTCGTCAATACGATAGTCCCTGATGGGGACATCATCACTCAGGATCTTGCCAGCATAGATGAGTTTCTGTCCGGCCACAGGGAAAGCATCACGGCCCTTCTCAGCTTCTATCTTCTCCTTCAACACCTTCACCTGGAGGAGTCCAGACAGCCTCTGTGAACCCTAAGAATCTATCTTCCCTTCTGGTTTAGGAGGAGAGTTTGTAAGCCTGATGGCAGAGAAGCTCAGCTTCACAGTCAAACACATTAGCTATGAATTCATTTGACAACTGGCCTGTCAATGGTATTTCCTGAACACCTATTAGGTCTCAGATGCTAGCGTAGGCACTAAAACCTATGTGGGGGGGGGTTGGGCCCACTGGGGATCGAACTCAGGACCTTGCGGTTATGAGGCAGGCGCTGTGCCACTGAGCTAAATCCCTGCCCCACTAAAACTGTTTTATACAGAAGCCCCAGCATGGAACAAAACAAGTTCCCAGGGCCTGGGGATTTAGCTCAGTGGTTCTGCCACCTGCCTCGAAAGCGCAAGGATATGAGTTCGATCCCCGGTACCAAAAAAAAAAATACAGAAAACAAGTTCCTGCTCACATGGAGAGAGTGCTAATTTGTTGGGGTTTTTTTTTTTTTGGTGCTGGGGATCGAACTCAGGTCCTTGCGAGAGAGTGCTAATTTGAAAAGAATAACAATTATATTTCAGAGTGGCATAAAATACATTGAGATAAAATAAAAAACAAAAACAAAAAACAGAATAAGCCAGGCATGGTGGTGCACACCTGTAATCCCAGCACTTGGGGAGCTGAGGCAGGAGGATCTCAAGTTCAAGACCAGCCTGGATTACATAGGGAGACCCTGTCTTAAACAAACAAAAAGATTAAAGGGACAAATAGGAGTCTCCCATTTATGATGCTAACCTGGGACAGTAAGAGTGATCAATAATTACCAAGGGGTAGTCAATACATATTGCTAATGCTACTTATTATAAATGTTACTGTACTTTTAAGGAACTGGGGATGAACATAAGGATTGAACCAGAGTTACACCCCAGCCCTTTTTATTTTGAGACAGGGTCTTGGTAAATTGCCCAGGCTGGCCTCAAACTTGTGACCCTCCTCCTGCCTCAGCCTCTTCAGGTGCTGGGATGAAGGTGTCACCACTGTACCCAGCTCTATCTTTAAGCCTCATAACATCTGCATGATACAGGTAACACTGGACTTATTTTATATTTGAGAAGACGAGACAGAATTAAGCAACTTGCCCAAAGTCAGACTGATTAAAAAAAACACCAAAATGAGTTTCTTTTTCTACAAAAACTGGGCGCGGGCAGGGAGCGTGGTCGGGGTACAGCGCTGGCCCATCCAGGAGCATGTAAGTCAGACTATCTTGGGGCAGTGGCACGGAAAGTGCCGAGCGCACACTCAATTTGCTCAAATAAAATAAGCCGCCGACAGACAAGAGCCACCAAAACTATGATCACAGACCATTTATTATCAGAATCGCTGTCGTCAAAAGTCGGAATCCTGGGTCACCTTTGCCAGACGAGGAACACACCTGCACAGAACAGGGGGGCGCGCGGACCCCGGCACCGCGCGCTGAGAGGCGCTGACATCCGAGCCCGCCCGCTGGGCGCCCGGGGTAAGGCTTGCCCGAGAAGGCCCAGAAGCGACGTGGTAGCCGCCGCGAGCCGGTCCAGGGCTAACGTGGGGGTCCAGGAGCCGGGCAGGTGAGGGAGTGGGGAGGGCCCAACCCGCAACGTCCTCCGTTTCCCTCCCGCCGGAATCTCGGCCTCCCAGCCCCCCCCCTCGGTACCCGTAGCTCCCGCCCGGGGCTCCGGCCCAGCCCGCACCGTCTCGTCAGGCTCCATACGGATCTTGAAGGTCTGCTGCTGTAGCGTTTTGAGCGTGATGGTGACGGCCATGGCGGGGCCCGAGCAACGGCGGCTGCCCCTGGATCTTCACACAACATGCAACTCACGCCGCCGCCATCTTAGCGCCCAGCCGCACCGCCCACCAAGCACTTCCGGGTCAAGTGGCGCGTGCGCTGACCATCAGCACACGCGATAAGCGCGTGACATCGCCCCAGCTCTCTTGGGTTTGCAAGAGAGCGCTCACAAGGCCAGGCATGCGCAGATTGACCTGTGAGGCAGGAGGGGCGGCCCATCGTCTTTGCGTACGTTTGTCACGTAGCTTCCAATGATGCTATGGCCGTTAGCGGTGACGTCATATGGCTGAAAAATAGCTTCTGTCCCCATTGTCACCCTCAAATGTTTCGTTGCTAAGAACAATGAACGAAGTTTTTCATTTACTTCATATGGATATTTGTGCTTCTTCAAAAATATTTGTTCATGCTTTGTTCCAAATGAATTTTATTCCGGTTTAACCACCTTAGCAGAAACCCTGAAAATTACTCGACTAGATTAAAGCTGGGCGTGGTGGTGGCACGCCTGTAGTCCCAGCACTCATTAGACTGAGGCTGGAGGATCACAAGTTTGAGGCCAACCTGGGGTACATAGTTCAAGGACACCCTGAGCTGCATAGGGAGACCCTGTAAAGACAAGAAATGATACCACATAAGTCACCAACAGAAAAACCTTTAAGAATTTGCAATCCGGGGCTGGGGATTTAGCGCAGTGGTTCCTTGCCACGCAAGCGCAAGGTCCCAAGTTCCATCCCTGGTACCAAAAAAAAAAAAAATTTGCAATCCAATCCACAGGCCATTTCACAGCTTGATTCATTGGTTGAGAGCGACCTGGATTTTTGGTATAAATCTGCAGTTCCTTTTCCCGAGTTGCCACTTCCGATGATCCATCAGTTTATCAGTCTTACCCAGAAGTAGAGAGTTTAAGATGTGACCTCTCAAGTCCAACCTATATCGAGTACAGAAGTCTCTCCATAAACCTGAGTCCACCAAACCAGGGTTCCTAGTGAGGCCTGGAAAGGTACAGAACCCGAGAGATTGGAAGCTTGGAGGCCAGTCCAAGGACAGGCTTGGAGGGGACCCCAAGTGGGTTGAGTGGGGAGTTGAAGGCGACTGGATGAAGGTGAGGCGAGGTTTAGACTCCCTTTCAGTACATGGACTATGGGAAGTAGGGTAGCTAGAGACTAACCATATCCCCAAGTCCTGAACTGACCACTAACAGCCTCTAGCCCTGCTCCTCTCCACACTCCTCCCTAAGCACTGAGCCAAGTCAGACTCCTCACCCATAGCTCCCCTCCACCTGCTTTTCTGGGCTTAGGCACCTTAGAGCAGATGGCCAGGCTCTCTCTTGTCCCTGCAGCCCAATCCGCCTGTTAGTCCACTCATCTCCCCCTTGGGTCCACCTTTTTTTCTTGCAGAGCTGGGGATGAAACCAGGGGCCTTGCACACCCCCCTTAGGTCTCCCAAATCCCAATTTAGCCTGAAGATCAAGTCCTGGGGCAAGGTACAAACCATGCCGAGCTCAGTTCCTTGGTTATCAGAGAAGTTAAAACAGCATCAACACCACTGGCTGGCATCAATGTTAAATGGCTCATTACTCTATGCAGACTTGCTCCTTAAGGACTCCTGGCTGTGGAGAACATGTAGCATGAAGTCACGAGGGATCAGCAAGTTCATGCACAGACTGTGAGTGGGGGCACTTACAAGTCATTCTAATAGTCTGGGGGACACAGAGCACACAGTACCCCTGCTCTCTCAAGGAGCACTGGGTCTTTCAGTAGCTGTGAAGTGAAACTTCCTCCAGACCCACCCCTCAGACTTCCTTTGGTTCCCTGATGTCTGTCCTCTCCCAGAAGGAGACATGGGCGGGGGGGGGGGGGGACACAAAACTTAATTTAATAGAAATTTTTTTTTGTAGTTCTTACATTCTCAGTGTGAGCCGAGCTGGAATCCACTGCCCCACCCAGAAATGGCCGTTGAGAGGCACGGGAGAAAAGCAGATGGGGAGCACCCCATTCTTCCTCAGTGCTGGGGGCCTGGAGAGGCCACCCCTTTCTGCTGCCCACCCCTCCTGGCTCCAGAAAAGAGAGCAGACGGAATCTCAAGCCTAGGGCTTCTCCTCCACACTCTTACCCTCAGGGTAGCTAAGGGATCCCAGAAAGAAAGAAGGGGGAAGAGGTTGGTCAAGAAAGACAAGAGCCAGGAGGGCTCTGAGGGCTGAAGGAGAATCAGACAGAACACTTGTTTTTTTTTAAAAAAAAAAAAAAAAGGCGGGGGACACAAAGCCAAAATCCACCCCAAATCTGAACCCGCCTGGAAAAAAATGAAAGTTCTTGGGTCTCATAGAGACATTATTTGGCGCGGCCGGCTCTGCAGCAGGGGCGCTCAGGCCTAGTCCAGCCCTGGAAGGGGGCAACGTGGCCTCTACAGCTCATCCTTTGCCTGGCCAGCAGCATCTTCCTCTTCCTCCTCTTCCTTGTCCTCCTCATCCTCTTCATCCTCATCTTTGTCCTCCTCATCATCCTTGTCTTCCGCTTCCTCCTCCTCCTTGTGCTTCTTGTCCTCTTCCTCTTCCTTAAGTCTCTGCTCCTCGTCCTGTTTGTCCTTCATCTTCTTCTCTGCGGCCTGCGAGCAGAAAGTGCCCTCCAAATCAGAACCTGGCTTATGCCTGCAGTCCTGCCCACCCCCCAAATCAGAACTGGGCCCTGCCCCACCTTCGTGACACCCCATGTCTCATTGCCGAACTCTTCTGCATATGCCTCATCGTTGGTGATGAGAAAATTGTCAAAGATGGTGCCAGATTTGACCTGGAGGTGATTGGAAGAAGTGGTCAGAAGTGACAGCACACAGTCCTGGTGCTGGACAGCGCTCCACCTGTGCTCCTATAACCACCACACCCCGGCTCTGGCCATCTGGGTAACTACCTTTACTTCTCTGCACCTTGGTTTCTTCACCTGTAAAATGGGGGCTCAGTCCCTTATTCAGGTATTTTTCAGGTACTAAGGATGTATACTAGAAACTGTCTTTACTGAAAAAGTGTTTCATTGACAAAAATTCAGTCCCATGTAACTTTTTTTGCTATGTGGGGTATCAAACCCAAGATCTCGCATGCTACAAAGGTCTACCACTGAGCTACACCCCAACCTCCCAACCAGGTTCCTAACAGGGCCAGCTGTAGTGAAATGAATAAATTTGCATAAGCAAAACTGAAAAACCCCACATAGGGATAGGCGTGGTGGCACACACCTGTCATCCCAGTACTCCGGTAAGAGGCTGGGGCAGGAGGATCACCATGAGTTCCAGTTCCGGGCTAGTCTGGGTTACAGTGAGTTCAAGGCCAGCCTGGACTATCTAGTGAGGCCCTGTCTCAAAAAACAAAGAAAAAGAAGCCACACCTAGTAAGCAGACCCTTAGATGGTGCTGTGAGGGCTTCCTAGACACAGACACAGACTGCTTCAGAAAATGTCCCACTGTGGGGTCAGACCTGCCTGGGGATCAGTCCTGTGCCTGCCCCTTTCCTCTGGCGGCCTGACCACTTCATTTCTCCAGACCTTTCTTCCTCCATGTCTCACCTGCCAGAGATCTAGGCCCAACACGGCAAAGTTTTCATAGGCATAGATGTTGGCATCTGGGGAGTACTCAGGGTTGTCAACTTCTGGGTGGATCCAGGTGCCCTTGTAATCTGGGTTGTCAATCTGTCGTGGCTTCCATTCGCCCTGCCAAAGGGAACCGAATGGTGAGTAAAAAGGGGTGCACTACCCACTGTGAGCCCCTGCCCTGCTCAGACTCCAAGCTCATCTAGTTTTTGTTTTTTCCCTGGAGAGCCACTCTAGGGAAAGTCCCCTAGCTCTGAGCTACACAACAGCCCCCAGGCTCACCTTGTATTCAGGGTTCTGAATCACTGGCGGTTCCCATTCCCCATCCATCTCTTCATCCCAGTCCTCAGGCTTCTTAGCATCAGGGTCAGGGATGTGCTCAGGCTTATCCCAGTCCTAGGGAACGAAGGGATCAGCAAGGCCCAGTTGTCCATGCTCTCAGAGGTGGCAGAGAGAGCCCGTGCCTAAGAACCAACCTCAGGCTTGGAGTCTGTGGGGTCATCAATCTTAGCACGTTCATCCCAGTCATCTGGCTTGGCAGCATTGGGATCCTTTATCTTCTTGGGTGGCAGGAAGTCCCAATCATCCTCCAAGGAGCCTGACTCCACTTGACTGTTGTCGATCTTCACTTCGTAGGTGTTATCAGGTCGCACAATCAGCGTGTACAGGTGTGTGAATTCATCATCCTGAAGAGGACAGGAAGTGAGTGGCCCCACCCCAGGCTACCCTCTGGGCTTCCCCAAAGAGCCACCCAAAGGCATGCTCCCAGGCACACCTTGCACCGAATGTCCTTGTTGATCAGCACATTCTTGCCCTTGTAGTTGAAGATGACATGAACCTTCTTGGTGCCAGGACCACAGATGTCTGGACCTGGGTGGAAAGCAGATCCCATGAAGTCACAGACTGCCCACTGCTGGAAGACCCCGCCCCTGTTTAAGGACCTAATCCTCAAACTCAGGTCTGTCAGGCTCAAAGATGAGTCTCCAGTTGTCTTCTTTTTTTCCCCTTGGTGCGCAGCAGGCGGCGAAACCACTGAGCTAAATCCCCGGCCCTCTGGTTGTCTTTATAGGTGGAGCCCCCCCCAAAACAAACAAAAAATAAAAACCTGCCTGCTAAAATTCATTATCCGTGTTTGTAAAATCAGGAAATACCTAGGTAAAACTCATACAGTTTATACCTTCAACTATAATGCAATCAATTTCTGCTACCTGTTCTCTATAGCCCATTAGCTATCCCATTAAAGAAAAACCTGTGATTACCTAGGTATCTTCTATGATTTCAAGACTTTTTCGGGTTATAAAAATCTATGGGTCCTGGCATGGTGATGCATGCCTGTAATCCCAGCACTTGGGAGGTTGAGGCAGGAGGATCGCTGAGAGTTGAGGCCAGCCTAAGGTACAGTGAGTTCAAGGCCAGCATGATCTATAAAGTGAGACCCTGTTTCAAAAAGGAAACAAAACAAAAAACCTATGGGGCCGGTCTCTCTCCACCCTCCAACTACTGGGAGAGTTAGTACCACTGCACAGCCCCTCACCGAACATAATGTTGTATTCTGAGTCACCGTGCATGTCCGTCTGGTCCAAGTTATCAGGAAACAGCTTCACATAACCACCCCCACAGTCAATGTTCTGCTCGTGCTTCACCGTGAACTGCACCACCAGCGTCTGGCCCTTGTTGCCGAAAGGTTCGAATCTGGCCGACAAGGCGTAAAAGCGGGCATCCTGACTTGTCTGCAGGCCTGAAATGGAACAAGAGTATGGTCACCGTTGGGCTCTGACCCCTGCCTGGGGACCCTAGACCTCCGGGAACGCAGAAGACTCCCCTCTTCCTCCCTCCACCTGCCCCGCTCCTAGGAAATGAATATCGAGACTGTGCCAGGAAGTCCTAGATCGAGGCACCCCTAGTTCTCACCTTTATCCTTCTCCTGGTCCCCGTAGAACTTCCCGGAACTCAGAACGAATTTGCCAAAATCGGACTTGTGTTTGGATTCGATCCAGCGGCTAGTCCAGGTGTCTAGAGTCAGAGGAGCAGGTGAGCTGGGAACCTCGAGAAGCCGCGGGTGCAGCAAGAGACCCTCGACCCCCCACCCTACCTGTGCTGACACCTGGAGAATTTGAAACTCTCGGGAAAACGCCAACTCCCGGGCGGGAGGTCGCTGCGCCTCCGCTCTCCCCAGGGACGCAGAAGAGGAGTCGCCTGCGGCTCCAGGTCCCCAGAGCCCCGGGTGTTGGCCCTCTGAGCGGTAATTACAAGGGACGGGGCAGATCGGGGTGGGGGGGGTGGGGTTGCCCGCATTGCTGAGGCAGCCTCGAGGCGGGACCAGACGTTACCTCCGTCCAGAAACTGCTCCTTGAAGTAGACAGCGGGCTCAGCGGCGGCCAGGCCAAGGAGGCCGAGCAGCAGCGGCACGGGTAGCAGCATGGTGGGCCGAGGGGGCGGCGGCACGCGGGCCCTTTAAAACTATCCTGGGGCAGCGGCTCTGCAGTACGGACAGACGCCGCCGCTGCTGGCCGCGCAGTTTTATACCGGCCTGCTTCTAAACCCAACATGATTGGGCATTTTAGCCCGCCCCTCACGCCTCCTCATTGGTCTTCTTCCACAAATGTCCTTTTCCATTGGACTCTCGTTGGCTCAGCATGTTAGGCTGTGCGTCAGAACGCTGAGATCCCAGATGGCCGATTTCTATTGGGCGCACTTTCGACCAATGAAAGTCGACCACGCGTTGTGGGGGACGCCCACCGGTGGGGTGGGGGCCGCGAGCCACGTGACCAGAACTCAGCCCTGCCCCGCCCCGCCCCGCCCCGCCCCGCCCCGCCCCGCTCCGCTCCGAGCGAGTCTCTCCCCGTCTGGGCGTTTAAAGACCTCGCGCGAGCACTGGTGTCACCGCTCAGGGCCAGAACCCAGTTCTCACTTCGACTCCTTCCATCCCCTCTACGTGGAGGGGAGGGCAGAACCTTCCTAGCCACTGTCTACCCTGCTTTTGGGGACCCGATCTGTCTCCATCCAAAGGGCCCTAGACCTTGCGCTGGGACCCTAAGGACCCTGAGGCCTTGCAAGTCAA